GGGAGGGAGGGAGGGAGGGAGGGAGGGATGGATGGATGGATGGATGGATGCTTTCAGGTCAATCTTGACTCCTGGCAACTGCCTGGATGTAATGGTATGTGAGAAAGACATTGGGAGACAGGGTGAAGAGACGCTGCCTAGGGAATGGTCAGGTAAGAGACAGCATTGCCCACAGCAGGATAGTGGGTGGAGCAAGAGGCTCAGAAGAGACCCTCCCTAATTTCTCGGGCTGTAAAGGAAACTGGGGGGGAGAACTTTCATACTTGCAAGATTCTGTCAATGTAGCTTTACAGTAAAGTAGAATTAGCTCATCTGGTTGTGGTTCCTATCTGGTTTACTCTATAAGGTCAAGTCTAGGTCACTCATAAAAGCACATAAGAATCGGGTGATCATTCAAGTTAATGTTCTTACAACAGGAGGGGCTGGCAAAATGAGGCTTCCAGCTGCTTCCTGATCCAAAATGGTCACTATTGTGGTTGTGAGGTCCCCCAAAACAGCTTCAATGGGATCATCTGGACCCAAGACCAGAGAAAAGGATTCATGCCACTCCCGGTCTTCATTGGACATGATCTCCACCTTAAAGAAAATGTGGTCCACACCTGCAGGAAAGGACATGAATCTAAGCAAGTTATCATTAAACAACTTAAATGCATCCATAAGGTAATGTTAAAGCCATTCCCACTAAAACATTCCTCCTTAAACTGGTATTCTCCAGATGAATTCCCAGCTGGCTAGGAATTCAAGATCCTGGAGTCCTGACACATCTGGAGATGCCTGGTTGGGGACAGCTGCACTAACCCATTGTGATAAAAGCAAACACAATTTTACCTTAACCTAATCATTTCTCTTTCTTTAATATGCCACACTACCTGATAGATTGCTTGGCAGGTTTACTAACTGATGCCATGCAAGGATTAATGGTGCCTGTCTGACTTTAATAAAAATCTATGATCCAAATATACTGCTGGTTATTCCCGCTTGCAGGCATGACTCCTTTGGTTCTTCACAATAAGTACAGAGTTGCTGATCTTGCCGGATGTTGTGTAGGACCTAACAGGATTGTGATGGACAGGTGGTTCAGAAAAAGAGCTGACAAAACTTGTTCCTGAAGAAAAACCACAGGAGAATAGGAGTTGTGGGTGGCAGGAGGGCTGGAAGGAGGGAAAAAGGGAACCAATGAACTAAGGAACAGAGGTGACAAGGGGACTGCATGGGTAACTGAAGAGCTGGAGAGCAGATGTCCACACAATTAATTGCAGAAAGAAAGGTTCATCCAGTCTTCCTTTAATGAGTTTTAGTGCCAAGAAATAGGGGACAGAAAACAGAACCTTGAACCCTCCAGTCCTCTTTTATTATGAGGTCATTAATGCAGAGTCTCTGCAAAGGTTTTGAATCTCTTTTTTCCCAGGCTGCTTCAGGACGGGCTAAAGATCCACTTCTTTAATAAGTCAGTAATGACTTCTCCCATCTGCTGATTGTTTTCGTCTTCTTTCTCAGCCTCCACACAATCTCTCACAGCAGAGAAAGATTGTGGAGGACAAAAAGATGAGGAGAAAACACAGCACAGAGAACCTTTTCCCATCTGGTAGCTTCCAGATAGGTTGGAACTCCAACTTCCAGTTAGCACGAAGACAGTTGGACACTCTAGCAGTTGCAGTCACAACTTCCAGTTGGGAAGGGTGATCCAAGGAGGGTATAAAAGCTACTGGAGGGCTGGCAGGGGGAAATTGAGCTTTTGGGAGAGGATTTTGTTTTTTTTCTAAAGATCAGAGATTCGTTGTGGGGAAGCTGTTGAGGCTGTTGAGCCTTAAAGGAAGATTTACACACTTTTTGATATATACCCCTATTTTTCTCAGCTCTTTTTCACCAAAATTAAGCAATGTGATTTCAGGTTATTGGCAGGCATGAAAGAGAAGTTTGAATTTTGCTATTAGGGTCCTCATCCGAGTCCTCTAGGAACGATGGGCTTGTTCTAGTTGCAGTGAAGACTTAGTGAAGTCCCACTAATTTCACGAAGAGAGAAGTCAGCATCCTATTAACTTTTTGATTGAAATGAATGGGAATTTACTGCACTTCACTTCTGTTCTTGCTCAAATGCGTTCTGCAGGGATTTGAGGGAAGAACTGGAAAGCCAACATTTGGACCAAGGAAGCAGATGGGGAAGATTTAGAGGCAGGAAGATTGCTAAGGTCTTAATGGGCATGGAGAAGGATTAGCTTCATGCATTGGTACAAAGCACTCAACTAAATCTTTGTGCCTTTGGTTAAAGGGCATATTGATTTTTATTTCTCTTTCTTGACTTAGACCTTGCTTTCTGCATATTAATCTCTACAGATCCACCAGAGGGCACACATGATAAACACAAAAAGGAACCCAACTTCTTTGTGCCTGAAAAGGATCTCCATTATTATAAACCCAAGGAAGGGTCCAATTCATTCTATCCATTTCTTTCTTTTTTTTTTTACCAGGGCTAAACTTGAGGACTCGACTCTTTGGATAATAATCAATTCCAGACTGAGCTGAACCATCACGGGTGCTGCAGCGAACTTTTGAGGTCCTGTTTTGATCTCCTGTCCGGATCACCTTGACATTTAGGAAACCAATGCCTTCTGGTCCAGGAGGTTCACGGACTTGGTATGCAGCTTCTTCAAACTCAATGGTGGGAGCTGGAATTATGGAGCAAGCAGGAGAAAAAGCCCTGTGTCACTAACTTTGTCAGTTTTCAGACATGAAGAACATTTTAACTTAGCTTGCAGCCCAACAAGATGGTGTCTGTAATAGCTCAGAGTTATTTCTTTTTCAGTGCCAATTATTAATGCTGGGAAACAAAGCAGTAGCCTAAACGTTTGAGAGTACTTGCTTCAGCAGAAATATTTAAAGACTGTACTAAAATTTAACTGACTCTGCCAAGTAAAGACAAGTTTATTGACTGATCCTGATTTTTTTTTTTTTTGGACTCAAAGTGGCTCAAGGCCCAAGACCACTGGAGATGTTTCAGAAATAAACAGTTAAGCGTGGACATGACAGAGACTAATACAGGCATGGAGAAAGTGAGCTGAGCAATTGCGCTGAATGACAAAGATTCAGGATAGGTGAAAAAAGGTTGTTCCTCATGTAACATAACAACAATCCATTCAGTTATGGAATTTGATTCCATAAGATGATGTGATGTCTGGCTGTACTGATTTCAAAAGGCAATCAGACAAAGGATAAGGCATCAACAGATATGGGACATGACTGGACAGGATACAGGTAGTCCTCAACTTACAACCACAATAGAGACTGGAAAATTCATTGTTAAGCGGTGCAGTCATTAAGTGAGGCATCACATGACTGCACCCAATTTTACAACATTTTTACAGTGGTCTTAAGTGAATCATTGTGGTCCTTAAGTGAATCATGTGATCCTTAAGCAAATCACGTGGTCGTTAAGTGAATCACACAGTTCCCCATTGATTTTGCTTCTTGGAAGCTGGCTAGGAAGGTCACAAATGGCAATCATGTGACCCCGGGATGCTGCAACTCTCATAAATATATGCCAGTTGCCAAGCGTCCAAATTTTGATCATGTGACCATGGGGATGCTGTGATGGTTCTAAGTGCGAGGACCGGTTGTAACTTTTTTCGGTGTTGTAGTAACTTCAAACGGTCACTAAACAAATGGTCATAAGCTGAGGTCACTACCTATATCATATAGTCATCATGTTACTGTTAAGGAACCAACAAGAATGGCTGTTGCACACCATTTCTGTATTTTTCTACTCATCTGCCTGTACACTATTAAAACAGAGTAGGGTGGTGTAGGGCTTGGGATTCAAAGGGAAAAAGGTGCTTCAGGGCACACATGTAGCACCTGATTGCACCTCCTGAAACCAAACACATCTTTTCCTAGGACCTTGTACTGGTATTGTGGAGGGCAACTGTGCAATTATGGGAGAAGACAGCTGCTTTAAGGAGCTGCAGTTGGGTACTGCACACGCATTCCCCATGTGCCCAGGAGAGCCTTTCTGCTTTTCAACAAAAGCACAGCTCAGCCTTGTAACAGGATGCTAGATTCAAATCATCCTTAATTTGATCCAGTAAGGTTCTTGTTATACTTTGTTACTCCCAATCTTCAACCGGTGTGTTGAAGACCACACTTTGCTAGCTGATGACCTGAGTCAAAAAGCAGGTCTACAGTGGGGAAAGAAGTTTTGGCCAAAAGTCTAAGAAATTTGAGATAGGAAACAAATCTAAAATTGCTTCTGGGCACTTGCAAATCAGCAAATCCATAACAGGACACACAAGGCCCTAATCACAGCATCATGAGAAGAGATGAAATTTTAAAAGATAAACGTCAAGTTAAAAGCCGGTATTGCGTTAGGCTTTAAAATTAGTTCCAGATCTGGATGTGTAGAAGACAACCAACTAATCAAGCAATTTAAAACTCAGAAGAATACATCTTTGAATACAAGCCCACCCCTCTTACCATCTTCATCGTTGGAGATTACTACAGTAGCCCTATTACTTTTCCCAACTGTAGCCCCGCTCCAGTGGTTTCCTTGGGGTTCACTCAGATATATCTGGAATTTCTCCTCTGGTTCAAAGGCAGAGTCATCATTAATAACGATAGTGCAGTTCTTTACCTAAAGTCAAAGATATCACCAGCTAAGCTATGGCTTGGGAGGCAACCTGCATAATTCATTAATCTATAAAGCAAGGCTTATATCCAATTCAGTGTTCAAGGCATCTCACATTAAGAGTAATAAAAGACAAATCAGTAGTAATGGCTAAGAAATAAAACGACAGGGGTCACTGGAAAAAAACTATTTCAAACCAAGGCTATGAGAAAGAACTATTCAATGGACTTCTCAGAGCAGCAGAAGCTACCAGAGGCCTAGAAATGGCTTCCTTTAGGCAGGGAATTCCAGAACCTAGATGTGAGCATGAAAAAGCCTTCTCTTAGGTCCCAATCAGATGTACGTCTGGATGCTGGCAGCACCAGAAAGGAGCAACTTTGCCAAAACTAAAAAAAAATCACCTCTTTTAATTAGATATTAAATATCTCCGCAGCAGAAGTACAGTCTCTGTAGCTTTGCCTTTAATTTAGCCATTCAACTGTAATTGAAAGAGGAGAGCAGATTAATCATGCCTGAGCTTAGTGCTCATTGAGGCCCTGCTTTAACTGCATTAAATTATGTTATTCTGCTGCTGAATGATCACAAGCCCATGATGGAACGGTAATGGGAAGGTGATGAACTGGAGCAGGGAGACCCAGTTTCCTCACTATGACTTTTATTCAGTCACTTGCAGCCCAACCTACCCCACAGAATAGTTGTGGTGGGAAAACTAGGAGGAAGGAGGGCAGCGTACATTTACGCTGAGCTCCTGAAGGAAATTAACTCACAAACAGCAAACCAACAAAACATGGGTGTCAAGGAACTACCATTTTAGGAGGAGAATAAGAGTTAGAGATTAGACTGAAGCAATTTCTAAGGAGGTCTTAAACAGAAAAGCAAAGAAGCAGCATTATTTAACCTAGATCAAACTAACCCATTTCTTCTTGGGCTAGGCCAAAGTTCAGTGATACAATGATCAAAATCTGCAGCAGGTGTTCCTTTCATTTTGACGTAGGAAACATATACCGTAAGCCCTAAAACATACTGCACAGGATAGACATGCAAAGAAATCTTCCAAATGTCTCCCCTCAAAGCCAAGGGAAATCACCCCCAGCTCTGCCAATGTACATGACACAGCCCTGCTTATCTTCTCTCACAGCCTCATCCATTGTGCCCTCAGCCCCCAGCCCACCTGTCTTGGACCAAGACAGTAAAATGCTTTTTGGTTGAGGATCTAGTTTCTTCAGGACAACTGTGTCATGGCCCACATGCTGGCAGAGTCTTTCCATTTTGTCTGTTTCTTCACCCAGAAAAAAACACAAGTTTTCCTTGCCACAAGTCTGACCTGACAGATTGCAGTGGGTTTTGAAAGTGGGCCAAAGGCTGTAAGTTGATGACTCTCTCTCCGCTATGTTATGTCATCAGTTCTCTGCCAGCTATATTCACTCACCTTCTCCCCTTTCAAAAATGTGACCCGTGATTCCTCAGTGTTTCTCCTTTCCTCAAAGTCCTCCATGACTCTTGCTGTCTGACTCTGTGTATGGCATCTGACTGAAGATTCATAGCTTAAGTCTCCAGTACGGATAACAGGAACATGCAGGATCCGGTCCTTCTCTTTCACAGAGTACACATCTTTACTGAACTTCATGTTTGGTACTGCAAAAAGAGTGGAAGAAGAAGCAGAGGAGGAGGAGGAGGAAAACAACAACTGCAACATAACTTTTATGAACATGAAATAAGGCAAAGCTGCCTTCCTTGACTCAGTGCCCTCTAGAAACACTAGATTTCAAGTATCATTATGGGAGGTGAAGACCAACATCTGAAGGGCTTCAGGCTGGGGAAAGTTAAGCTGGAACATGTGCTGGATATTGCTTGGGTTTATTAAAAATAAACTTTCAGCAAAATACAAAAAGCAATAAAAAAGAAAATAAATGCAATAGGAAAGGACTGGTGCAGAATTATGTGCACTAGGTGGAAGTCAGGCCAAAATTGGGAATTTCTATGACAAGCATTCATGTATAAAAGAAGAGAGCACTAGAATTGCTAGAATCACCTTTTTTCAGGCTGCTTGAACAAAAAGTACAGAGTAAGCAGCAACGGCGGAACTCCGTAATTCCCAGTGCGAGACAATTTAGAGTCCAGTGCACATGTGCTGAAATGCTTTGACTTCTGTAATTCTGAATCTGCTTTGGCAAATGCACAGAAGTCTACATTAAGAAAGTCTATGATGTTGCAGAGAAGGATCCCTCAAGGATGATTAAGCTACATTCTCCTAGAATCACAGACTAACAGCAGTCCTAGAAATGCATGGTTCCTTCCAGAAGGAGTTGCAGTCACAGAGAGTACCTGGCTTGGGGTTATTCTATAACACCAACTTTGCCCATGGTTAGAGGGTAAACTGTGATTTCAGACCCGGTCAGATCATGCCATCTTCAGAATCCATATGGTGCCATTCAGTCTTACCTAACTCCTGAATCTAAATCAACTCCTCAATTTAAGCATAAAAGCAGCCTTGCTGAACCAGGTAACTTGTGTGTCTGAGTGTTTCCACTGTCATTAGTTTGGGATCTACTTACCATCCTGGAAGGTGTCATTAATGGCCACCACCGCCTGGAAAGGTTTGGCCAGCTCTGCTCCTTGGGGTGAACTCAGATAGACCACAAAGGTCTCTACTCCTTCAATCACTGGGGCCTGTGCATCATCCAGAATAGTCAAGGTACAATACTAATGGGGATAAAAGAAATACAACAGCCTATTCTGTAAACATATACAATATTTATTTATTAGATTTATATCCCGCTTTGTTTTATACAACTCAAGATGGCGTACGTAATGCTTCCTCCTCTATTTCCCCAAAACAACAGCCCTCTGAGGTGGGTTGGGCTAAGAGAGAGTCATCTACCCAGCTTCCATGCCTAAGGGAGGACTAGAACTCCTGGTGTCCCAGTTTTCAGTCCACCACCTTACCACTACACCAAACTGGGTCTCCATAACATGATCTCCAGTCGGGTTCAACCCCTAGTGCCTTTATGGATATATTCACATTGTTTCCTTTGCAACCATTATGCTTTCAACCAAGCCTATAGCCCCTGGATTTGTGGCTGGTCTCCCATCTGAATACTAACCAGGTCTAACCCTGCTTAAATGTTGAGGTCCTCCAAGGCCACCTAGGTGCTGCCGACTATTATGACCCTACATATAAAAAGCCTACTCACTCTGTGTAAACATATGCGAGAGACAGTGAGGAAGAGAGAGGGAGAGAAAAAAAGAGAAAACATTTTTAGAATGTCTTAGATTTATAAACAGTGTCAGCTTTCATTTATAATACCTGCTTTCCTCAGATGCAGAAGGAACACCAAAACCATTAGCTGGATTGCAACATCTATTTGCAGGCATTTCCTAATGTTTTAATTTATTGATTATTAAATTTTTATGCTGCCCACCTCCCCCAGAGGGTGACTGTTGTTTGGTATTATACTTGGCCCTTAGCATTTTAATTCTGGATTACATAACAGGAATAATGCTTGAGCTGACAGGTCTCAAGATGAGTTAATTGGGGGGTGGGACAGGTACGTTTCATTGTCATTGTCCTGGATATCTCCCAACAGCTATTGGCTGATGGTTACCATTTCCTTTCTCAAATAAGGCTTATCAGAATAATTTGGAATTGTATTGATGTACTGTATATCAAAACACATTTCAAGATGTCTAACAAACCAACCAACCAACCAACCAGAGGACTACATTCATTTGACACCCCTATATTTGTTCGGGTTCTTGTCAGGTGTTCTACGATGTGCAAAATTTCCAAGACCAGACCATTCTGGAGAAAGGCACCTTCCCATTTTTCTATGATATACTATGATGCTGAATCCCTCCACTTAAATGAGAAAAGTAGCCGTACCTCCTCCGTTCTTCCTGAACGAAATTCAACCTTCTTGGAGCTGGGAATATAATCAAATCCTGGAGTAGCAGATGGTGGATCTGATGTCCGAGTGGCACACCAGACAGAGGTAGGAATGGAGAGATCAGACCCATGCCTGGTAACTGGGATTTCGATAATCCCTGGAAGGAGGATTTCAAAGCAATACATTTCAAATAAAAGATTACTGCTGCTTGCACCCCTTAAAAACATTTCAAAGGACACCATAGTCCTTACTTCTATGTGCATTAAGGAAAACTATCATGAAGTCAATGTCCTTATGGAAGGGAACCAAACTGGATAGATGCCCCTTGGTTGAGCTGCAAATATAGGAATGAGGACTCATGTTTCTGTGCACAGAATTTGCTGCGGATGTAGTTGTTGTCAGCTGGACCACCCAAGGGATAACAGTTCCCCCGCAACCTCAACCAGCCACAGGTTCAAAGAGATGAGTTGGGTGAACCTTAAATGCAAGTGTTCTCCCATTAAATGGGCATCACAGAAACCAGCCAGATGTTTGTTAGTGGGACACTGGTCCCTTCTTTTATTAAGCCTGACTCCACATACTGTATGCCTATTTTGTGCATTAAGTATCAACTGGACACTACAACATACTGTAAGAGTGAAATAATTCCCAAATTATACCTGCATCCTCGCTAACGCTAAAAGCTGCACTTCCGAGCGACACAGTAGAAGCATCGTTGGGACCACTGATCATAACTTTAGCTGAAGCTATGCTTCCAATGCGTGCATTCTCCGATGCATCAGTGAGAGCAATTTCAAATTCTTCCTCCTCTTCATACTCGCTGTCATCGACCAGCTTCACATCGCAAGTTGTCGTTGTGACACCAGGCCCCAACACAACCCGGTTGTCATTGGACATTCCCCTGGACTTAAAGTCTGAGCCAGACTCCAGGGCATACACACTGCTGCCTTTGGCACTTTGGGAGACAGTGTAGCATATGGCAGAGACAATTCTTCTAGAGTCTCCTACAATATAATACAGGGAAGAAAAGTACCAATTACTTTCTAGAATAAGAATGACACTTATCAACAAACACACTTCCCACAAGCTTCCTTTGCTAAAATGTAATGTTTTATCTTACTTAATAGTGATAATTATTTTATCCTGATCATGGGTATGTTGACTGGAAGCCAATAATTTGGCCTGAAATGAGTTAGTTAATTTTTTTCATACTTTTTATATGTGTATTGTTATCTAGCTTGGTTTGATAAAACACTTTTTTACTAATCTGGATTAGTCTTTCCAGTTTAGCACCACTTATGTGATTAGGGCTACATTTCCTAGCCTGTATGGCCATTGGCCACACTGCTGAGGGATTCTGGGAGCTATAATCTCAACACAGCTGAGGACACCATGTTGGGAACAGCTAGCGTTTTTATTGTTAGCCTTTCTTAAATTGTTCATCCTTTCAATGCCATACATCAGTATCTATTTAGAAGCTCCGCTAATTTTAATGGAATTTATTCCCTGGTATCACAACCATGATACAATCCTGAACATCCTGCTGAGAAGTTTGACAGCCTACTTAAATTCTAATTTTACGTTTGTTTGTATTTTGTTCCAATGTTCTATACTGAATTACTAATGAATTGTCTTGGGATGCTAGAAAAGTTCTGCAATATGTTCTTGATACACTCTCATTACATGCTGGGCAAGCCCTATCGTGCCTTTGAGTCACCTTGCATGAACACACCCAGAACTCTGAGGACACTCAATCTTTTAAGAAATATTGTCTTTTCACCAAGATAAGCTCCAATAAGCTCTTAAGAAAACCGAAGGGCACTGTTTGAAAAGCAATGAACCAAAGAGCAATAATTTGGACTCAAGCAATAGTTGTCAACCTTTTCATATTTATCCAAGTCCTACCTTCATTCTTCAACACAACCTTCAACCCAATTTCTTCCTTATTTTTTACAGGGCACAGCAATTTTTCTTTCTTCCTACAAACAGGCACCCAAAAGTAATTTCCTATCACCTACTATTGGATCCTTTTCACCGGAGAAGGTGAGAATACAGCCTGGGAATTTATGCAAGGGTGGTGAAGCCCTCTGAGCACTGAAGACCCTTTCCCTCTTTAAAGGGAGCATCCGATGCAAAAAAAAAAGCGGGGGGGGCGCGATATTTCAAAAAAGTGTAGCTGCTCTCACACCTCTGTTGGAGGTCCAGCTTCCCAAGCAAGGAGGAGAAAAACTGCTCCTACCCCAAAAAATAACCTTCTATTCAAGCTGTTAAAAATGAAGACATTTGATCTCCTTTGTATCCAATCAGGTCTAAGTCTTCTTTCCGTTTGGTGGTTAAGGAATGTCTATGAACTACTTTTGATAAAGACCCAACCCATTTGTGCATCAAGTTGAAGGCAACAGTTGAAAGTCCCCAATCCTGAGAAAAAGGCCACAGTGAAAATTGGATAGCCTGAACTAAACACAATTGCATTCTATGGGCAGAGTTAAGAGCTAACATGTTCCTCTGTGCTCCATGTCAACGAACCTTTCCTTTCAATGGGGATGGAGAGGATGCCGGCACTCTCACTGATGTGATAGACTTTCTTGTCAAACTGCAGGGTGGGCTCATCTTCTACATCGCTGATGAAGACTTTGGTTTCAGTGATGTTCCCCAACAAGGCATATGCTGGCATGTTCAGCTCGACAGTGAAGCTCTCTACACCCTCAAAGATATCATCATCATTGATAACAATGGTGCAGGTTTTGATGTCCTCCCATTCATCAAATTGCACCTGCATGGGATGAAAAGCAACAGCAGGGCTGGGCATGGACTTCACACAGAGGTGGAAACAGATCTTCTACAGCCAGTGAGTTCTTAGTCTTAACAAGGGCTGCCAGGTTTGATTTGGACTCAGCATTATTCATTATGAGCTTCAGGATAGTGAAACATTATTTAGGACTGGTAATCATGGCTCCAATACTGTATGGGACAAGCAAGCCCTAACTGCTCCATAAGCCAATCTTATGCACTCACTGTTCATGCTTCATTAATCATATCCCATCATACAGTTCTCCTTACCATTGAGACACTGGGGCTTGGATCTCATGGGCTGAGAGTAAAATTTAAATTTCCCAAACTTCCTGAGACTGTGTATAGCAGCTGTTCCCCAGTCTGAGCACACTCCAAACATGTGGACTTCAATTCCCAGAATCCGTCAGCCACAATGGCCATTGCTGGGAGTTTTGAAGGCCACTCATCCAGAGAATGTCTCAGCTTCCAATTCAAGTCCTCCATTCCTGAACCCCAGGAACTGAACCCCAGGGTAAGAAATTCCTCTTTACAGGTCTGGATTTCAGTAGAGCTGGGCTACTCTGACATGAGCTTTGAGCCATCAAAACAGCCAGAAGCTTCAGTAATGATCTTCACCAATGATTCTTGCTCCAACATCACTTCCTGTGCATGTTAGGAAGTGGTCCGGCTCATTCTTCCTTGAACTAAGACAGTTTCAGACTTTTGGTTCCAGAGCTTCTACTGGATGATGTAATGAATGAACCCACCTGGCCAGCATATTCAAGGTAATCCTGTTCCCCTGGCTGAGAACCTGAACCAGAGGTGGCCGTTCCCTGTTCTGTACGGCACAGGACAATAGCGTATTGTTTCAGGTTTCCTATTCTCTTCACAGCAACACTGATGGAACCAGCCTTTTCACTGATGTTGTAGCTGGAACGAAAGAGGGGCAGAAATGGTATCTTTCAGATTACAGAGTAGGTACAACTCAGAGTTTGTGAAGCACAAAGGAATCCATTGGAATGAGTCCTCCTCAATTCGGTATTTATGTTACACTTACTTTAGGAGGCTTATATGTGTCTTTTAGTCTATTGGTCCCAGTAGCAAATTAAGAAGTTAAATTGCAATTTATATCAGTTTAATTAACTTAAATGTGTTTGCTTTCCTCTTGTTTTACTGAAAATGTGAAATCTGCCTTCATTAGGGGCAATTCAATCTAATCAAATTCATTTAATTCAACTCCAGGAAAAAGACACAGAATTCAACTTGGTAAAACCCCAGTTACACCCAACGGATTCAATAATGCCTCTTGAAGTATCTGGTATGTTACCAACAAATCACAAATAAATATGCCAGTTGAAGTAAACACCTATGGGAAATGATTTGTTCAACATATGAACCTTTACTCCACTTCCCCATCTATGGTCCACTTGTATCTCTCTTGTCCTGTATGAGATGTTTGTGATTTCCTTCTCACTTTCCTCTTTCTCCTTGGTTCCTCCTTTTTCCAACTTCTTGCCCCATGGTCTTCTCCCTCCATATATTGCTCCTTTAGATCTCTTCTTTTAGAAATCTTCTTCCATAGCCCTATTTCCTTTAACCGACATGATTTTCCCCATTTTCATATCCTTCCAAAAGCTACCTTCCTCAGCCTCCCATTTTTCCCTTCTTATCTTCAGTACATATTTATTTTCCTCCCTACACGCTAAGGAGGTTTTTCCCTCGTTGTCTTGTCTCACTTTTCTTTGGTCTTCTTTCTCTTCTCCGCTGTTTCAGATACTAACAAATCAAAGTAAGACTCGCTTGAGTTAATTTCAACTCCTGGTGATTACATGGTCAAATCTATGGAGGTTTTTTTTGACAACAATGAGGAAGTAATTTGTTAGTGCCATGTTCTGGGATATTTTTTTAACTTTCCATTCTTCAGTTGACAGTCCTTAGAAGTCTCTCCTGGTCTCCCATCCAAGCACTAACCAAGTCTAATCTTGCTTAACTTCTGAGCTCAGCTAAGGTTGGTCAAGTGCTCCAATTTCATTTCCTATTTTTTTCCCCACTGAATATAGACTTCTTGTCCTGTAACTTTGCTCCTTCCATACCTTCCTGACATTTGATTTTGGAGCCATGAGTCTTTCTAGCATCTTTGCCTTCTAGCAAGAGTATACAACTCATTGTGTCCCATGATCTTCCAGAAGTTTTTACTTCAATTCAAAGTGATTTTTCATATGTGTTTATTTAAAATATTACCCAATTAATTTTTCTGAAGCAAGGTACAGTTAAAACAACAATCTGTGAGAAAGAAGGAACATGCCAGCTGCTGACAATGAACATGCTCTGGCATCGCAACAGTGAGAGTTCAGTCAGATACCTGAATAGTTACACTTCTATGTCATATTAAGAAAAAGCTGGGGTACCTCATATGTTGAAAGCTGATAAGAGACCACTGAATATGGAAGATATTGTCAGTGACAATGCTGGGCTTGCTGTCCTTCACCAGAAACTGAAAACTATCTTCCATCTTTTGAATGTTCTCCTCATGCAGCACATACTGAATCAATCCCAAATTCACATCCTCTGTTAGAAAAAGAGTTCAGCAAATTAATCCAGGAATTAAAGCATTTTTGCATCTTTTACAAACCATAAGAATAGCCTCCATGCTGACCTAGTTTTTTGGAAATGGAACAACCCCTTTTGCTCAAAAATGATTTCACTATATCTCAGCCTATAAACGCAAAATTTTATAAAATGATCTATGTTGGGAAAGCTATTCATTTCATCTAGAGGCTATTGGAGCCTCAACTGAGGATGACTGAAGAAACAAGGTTCTTGGGGCTGCAGTCTCTGATTAAATTGCTGACTCAAGTGAGCAACCAATAAAAGCAAACTTTATTTTGTGCATCATTAGGAAAGAACATGAAAATCAAACTGCCCATATTTTAATTCTTTCCTAAGATTCTATCTGGCCACGCTAGGAATCTGTTCACTGGGTTTCAAAAGGATACTTTGGAGCTGGGGGAAAAAAAAAAACCAGAAAGAAAGCACCAGACTGGAACCATAACATCATAAAGGCAAGTACTGGGATTACAGAAGAACTGTATAAACTGAAGCTTGATATGGATGGGAAATGTTTCTCCTTTTTTCTGAATCTGACAACTTTAGAGGCTTTCCATCAGGATGAAGAGTTGGGAGTTTCAGAGGAAGTAGAAGACAAAAGTTAACCCTAGCAATGTCCTCATGTGATGTACAGATAACCCTATCATAATGAGCTTAGGTTCTATCTCTGGATGCTAGATCAATCCAGAAATCATAGTTTATAAGCCATGGTTATAGCTTAGCATGGTGCATGACCCCCTCAATGGTGGCTTGGTCCAACAATTATGGTTAAATAAACCATGGCTCACTGAGAGGTGGGAATCCAATCATAGTGATAGCAACTAACTTGAATGGTTTTAAAGGAATAGACAAATTTATGGAGCTAAGGGCATTTGTACATGGGACTTTGATACTATCCACAGATTGGAACCTTGCCTTTATTTTCCATTACCAAAATTCCTGTTGGCCCACTGAACTAATTTACTTCTGTTTCAGGACAAATTGCAAGAATTTTAGTTTCCAGACTGCAGTGCTAGAGCTCTGGAGTTGAGGGTGGAGTGTTTATCTAATGGCAGAAGGTCTTCCAAGTCCTTGGCTCTCCCTACTCTCAGAAACCCCAGGAGTAGGTTTGCAATCAGCTTGGGGGGCAACCACAGAACTGGAGGCCCTGCTTGTCAGAACCAACTTGGGCTATATCATTTAACCAGAAAAAATTAGGTGGGTGAAGGAAATTTCCTAGGTATGGGATTTTGCAATAGCACCATGCTATGTTCATATTGGATGTCTTAAAATTAGTAGAAATGTGGCTTAGTAGTGACTGACTTTTTATTTGCTACAAAAACAAACAAAACAAAGTAAGGATGATGACAAGAGGGGATGCTAGTTGGTTCCCAGTTTTTGCACCCCTTCCCAGCCACCAAAGACAGACTGGTGCGCAGCGTTGCTAAGAAGGCAGGAGTGAGATCACTTTTGGGGTGCCTCAAAAATATTTCTGAAAGTGAAACTGATGGCCATGTGGAAGTGCCCTGAGGCTATCAATGACAACTTGTTAGGGAACAACTGAACATGGTGATTCATCTCCCCTTCTGACTTCAATCTATAGCCACTCTGGAAACAGGATTTTGGAACGGGTACATTTTTAACCTGATCCAGCACAGTCCTCCTTATGTTGTTATATTTATTCTTCTACAAACTTTGTAAGAAAACACAAAGATGGCTCCCCAGATATCCTCCCTGACTGTTAAATTCAGAGTTCTGCTTTGCTATTTTCACTCTTAGGTGGCTTTGTTGCCAACAAAGTAGGTGGGTCATGTTTGGTCAGCTCTGTATTACCCAGATTCATCCAGCATGTCCTTCCATTCCTTCAAGAGAAAAGGACTACACTCAGTAAAGAGGCATGACACTAAAAAGCAAATGCGAAGCTGATTTATACCTTGTGTAAAAGTAGTCACCATCCTTCCTGGCTGTGATTTCTTCTCCACATAACCATGTTTTGGCCCTGTTGTTATTTCATAGATCAGGTGGTTGTCTTCTGTATCAGGGTCCATAGTCAACAGCTCCTTCTTAGTGATGAGATTTTTTGGCTGGATGGAAGACCAGAGACCAGTGAAGTAGAGTCTATAAACACTGAGCTTTAAAAATGAAGGCCAACTAGCACACTCTTTCCTAATCTGGTACCCTATAGATGTTTTGGATTACAAGTACCCTAATCCCTAACCCATATAAATTCTGGAAACTCACATACAACTCACATACAGTTTCCTTTGTATTCTTTTTTTCCCCTTGTGATTGTTCCAAAGCCATCCAGTGAGCCTTGTGATGAAGACTTCAACATCAGTCTTTTTGGTCCATCTGACCCTTGAATCATATATCACCAATGACTATTTAATCAAATCTTTCTGCCTTACCTTTTGGGCATTTGCTATTCTTGTTTGTTTATTATTTGTTAGATTTAGATTCTGCCTTTTCTTCAAGAGCTCAAGGCAGCTTACATGGGGATCATCTTTCATTGCATCCTTCCAATAATCTGGTAAGGTAGGTTGGGCAAGAGAAGATCACTGTCTCAAAGGCACCCATGAGCTTCCATGGCTTAGGGTGGATTTGAACCTCAGTCTCCCTAGTTCTACAACAACGCCTTCATCACTGAGCCACCTTGGCCTTCATCAGCCTTTTCAGGTCTTCTGGCATTGTGCTATTGCCTATTTCTTAATTCCGGGACCGAAATGCAATATCTATCTATCTATCTATCTATCTATCTATCTATCTATCTATCTATCTATCTATCTATCTACCTACCTACCTACCTACCTACCTACCTACTTACTATTGTGCTATTGCCTATATATATATATATATATATATATATATATATATAGAGAGAGAGAGAGAGAGAGAGAGAGAGAGAGAGAGAGAGAGAGAGAGAGACGTAGTACGTCGTACGTCGTAGTGTGT